AAAAACATTGAATATATCAATCGATAGAAAATATATTTGTTCTTAATTTCTTACATATAACAATACAAAAAATAGATTATATGTCGACTTATTCTAACTTTCTTAAGTCTTTATCTAAGTAAGAGACTGTAAGTCGCAATACTTAACTTCGCAGTACTTACATTTTCGTATCGATCGAAGTAGTTTTTAATATGCATGTGTATACAAACTTATATTCTAGGTTTATAATATTGAATGCCAAATCAATGATAAATGTATGTATAACATTTAATATGAGCAAGCACTGTTTAATTTTTCCCTTATTGCAATTTTTCCTAGGTTGTTTACATATTTTCTATCTTATATAAATTATATACGAAAACGTAACAAAAGTATGATATAAAATCTACAGAAGCTAATATTATCGTGACGTAATAGATTTACATACGTAAAAATAGTCCCAAAAATAATATAATAAAAATTAATAGAACCTAGGGAATATTAAATCCACGTTTAACATTGAAAAGACATCGCTGGATAAAGAAAGTAGCGCTTTATATTTCAAATACTGTTAGTTCATCAGTCGTCAAGAATTTACACAAGTTCAAATATATATTTGAAAGATACTATTGTCTTAAATTATTATCTTAAAATTAACAGATAATTTTTGCTATAATCGTATTAGACGCTATTTTAATTTAACTCGAATTGTTTATTCAAGACACAAAAATTCATCATTTTTATTATCAGATGGCCTTGTCACATTTGGTCTTCGTTCATTATTTGACTAATACAACTGAATATATTCTGGAATAAAATTCTAGAACAGAATTTTGAAATAATATATATTAGCAAATAATTATTTCTTACAATTGTTTGTGTCTTGTTTATCATTTTTTCAAATCTATAGAGTATACAAGAGACATGATCACGATTATAATCAATTTATTAACAGTAATATTTTTTGTTTTAATTAACATCTCCATATCTCAAACAAATACTCCAATAAGATTTCAATAATCTTTGCGTTACAAAAACAAAAGCTTTCTATGAACTAAACTGCAGAAAGATAATCCTAAAGTTTATTTTGGAATTGCCTATCGATAGCATCTAACATTGATACTTAAAAAAATTTATCAAAAATCAATTTGAAAATTTGCCAGAAAAAAAAACCCTTATTAAAATTTTTATCTGTCCATTAAGGCAATCTGCGTAATGTCTTCAGTTTTCTTACTGATAATATTGTCTAATAGAACTGCTCCTAATTTATCTATTCTATTATATTAGTTATTTCGTCAGTGTAATTTAATCTATCTTCTTCATCGAATATCGATCCATCATTAGACAATTCGCATTCTTGGCTCATTAAAATTAACTTGGTATGTGCGTTGATATCGCGTTCCTTTTTATGAGATTTTTTAATAGAAGTTGTCTGCATCACTTTGATCGAATTTATTGCAGTCAAACTATTTGGAGGGGTTGCACTTAAAAGTGTTGATTTCGCGGTATCGTTTGCACCTTCAATATCTCTACCTCGACTCGTAGATGGTTGAGGATCATCATAAGCAGTCTTCTTATAGCTTTCATCCTTTTCCTCTTCATGCATATTACTGCACATTTCCCTTTCGGTACAATGATTGTCACCATGATGTGTTGAATATAAAGTTGTATGGTCTTCCAACATTTTTACATCATTTAATAAATCAATTTGCTCATTCCTTGTGGTATACGATCGTTTTTTCTTTAAAATCAATTTATTACGGTTGTGTTTATCTTTTTTATGTGATTTTTTAATTGAATCTTTATTACGAAGTAACTCAATTGTCGACATATTTATCGGAGTTGATCTACCATTCTCATCTTTCAGATTGGCATTCGAAATGCTCTCATCAGTCTCAAATGTTTTAATGCTATCACATTCCCTAGGGGTAAGATCTTCGCTTTTACTCGGTTTTCTGAAACGTGTGATCGGTGTCATGCATCTGGAATAATCGACTTCTTTTGATGTTTCTTGTGCAGATTCATCATTCTTATATGACATCTCATCTGCAGACATATGACTCGTAAGCAGAATTGATGACTTTTTGATAGGAGTGTAAATCTTAAATTTATTATCTGTATTTTCACATCTCAAAGAATTAGAAGAACTTGGCAATTCGAACATATCATCTTGTGAGGATATGCTTACTGATCGTTTCTTCTTTCTAGGCAATACATCAGGAGAATCTCCTACTCCAAGAAGTTCATTCAAATGTAACATTTTATTAATGTTTTCTTCTTCGTACATACTTTTTAATGAATCATCATTTCTCTTGTGATATTCATAATTATGACGTTTAGCGAGATCGGAATCTTTCTTGTTACGTTTGTCTTTCTTATGTGACTTTTTAACTGAGTTATAATGAAGCAGTAAGAGTCTACTTGAATTTACATTTTCGGGTGTGCATGGTCGATTGGAATTCTGTAAGCTAACACAAATATCTGCCTGACTTTTGTGTTGATTGTTACTACAAGTATCCTCAACTGATGTTTCAGTTTTTGTTGATCCTATTTTATGAAGGAGATCCATTTTAAATAATGCTTTTCTATTTCCATGTTTCACTTTCTTATGCGATTTCTTAATCGACTCTGTAGATATATGTTGTAACATATTTATATTGTTTTCAGGTGTACTTACTTTGTTAGTATTCTGAGAAATAATTGGATTAGCTTCTGGGGATTCTATTCTATTTTCAGACGTCATACTGACATTACAAATATTTGACGATTCTTTTTGTAAAGATAACTGCTTTACTTCTTCGTTACAAGCATTTTCTTCGGAACAATCTTTTTCTTCTCTTTCTTCATTTTGTATACTTTCTTCATGTTCGTGAAAATCGCTGAAATCAATACTCTGTTTATCATTTTCTATTTGATCCAATCCATTTTCTGATAAATTATTTTCTTGTGATGCGATTGTCTGCTGTACACCGTGATCTAATTTAGCATCAGAACATTTGTCATCCAAATCATAAATAAGCATTCTTTTAATATTCCTGTTTTTCTTCCAAGATACATCTTTAGAAGCCATAGTGCAACTAGCATTAGAAAACATATTTACTTTTGAAGATTCCATCGTTCTTTCTAGATGTGAATTATCATTTTCTATAGAAATATCTATCTGCGAAGTAGATGATTGTTCTTCATCGCAATCCTGTTACAGAGTACAAATATTAGTATATCAGTTACAAAATTATTTAAATTTAAATTAATTTAGATTTAAAAAAAAATAGATAACTTTTTTATAATTTATAATTAATTTTAAGAATAAAAAATATCTATCTTATTAAGACACAGTAATTGAATATATGAAATTGTATAATGTAAAAGAATAAAATAAGCTGAAAAAAATAAGCTTAAAATAAAAAAAACAATCAGCATAAAACAATATAATAATGTAATAAACAGTATAATGAAATATAATAGTGTAATACCTTCATGTAACTTTGTTCAGCATTCTTGGGTGTACTTGTACTGATAATATCCAGGCCGGATCCATGTGATTCATTATTATCATGCTCAAATGATGAAATTAAGGAATTTAAATCAGATGTTTGTTGCAAACTTGTATTGTCAGTTTTTTCCTGAAGCAATGACATTAAATGAGATGTTCTTGGCTTATAAATATTTCTTTCTGCATCATTCTTATTAGATATTCTGGAAAATTTTCGATCTTGTTGAGGTGTTTGATTCTGATTTTCATCAATAGATTCTGTAGATGCAACCAGATCGCTATTGGCAATAGACTCGGTCGAACTAATATTTATTATGGATGATGTATCAACGCTCGAACTGATAGAACTGTCATCATAACTGCTTTCCTTTGGACTTGAATCAAATGTTAATGATTTCCTTATATTTGTATTTCTACGAAAAGTATTATAAGGAGAATGTAGTGCTTTCATTATTTTTGCTGATCTGGATAATGATCGACATGACTTCTGCATATCAACAGAATCATGATTCAAAGTTGAGTTCGGCGATTTTTGCCAGCTATCTGAATTGATGCTATCGGAGCTTAATGATCTATTCATTCTTATTGGACGTTTAAATAAAAATCTGTTTTTCCGCAGAATTGATATACTTGATACTCTGGGATATTTAAATTGTTGTATGAAAAACTTTCCTTTCGGTGGTGTTATATTCATAAATAAACTATGTTTTGCTTTTGGACTCATATCGCTATCATTGTCATTATTTGTTTGCGCATTTAATAGTTTAGTCATCATTATTATTTTTATTACTATATAAGCACTATATTTATGCTATATAAAGAAGAACGTATTTATGAAAAAAATATAGATATATATACACATACATGTGTATATAAGAATGTATAATTATATTACAAAGAAATCATTTTGCAGAATTGTTTTATGAAAATCATATTCATCCAATTATACTTTTCTTCTTGTTAAGATACCTATAACAATAAAAGAAATATTTTAATATTTAAATATAACATTTAGATTATAATAATAGAATATTTATTATAAATAGAATATTTAAATAAAATATTTAAATTATTCATCACAAGTCAATCAAGTGCTTTTAAAGATTTTGATTGTAATTCATTTAATAATGCTTTGAAGCATTCAATTAGTCAATCAACAGAAATTTGTTCTAATAGGTTAATTAAATATCAAAGCATTTGTGGCATAAAATAAATCATAATTTTTATTATAACATATATTCAATTAAAAGACTTAAATATTGAAAGACTGAAATTAACATAATAACACAAAAATATTATTAAAAAAACATAAAATTTTATCAGGTAAAACAAAATACAACGGTAAAAGGAAATAAACGATGAAATAGAATGTTATAATTGTTTCTACAATATAAATTAAATTTCGGTTTAACTTAT